TATATGGACCATATGGAAGAGTCCTTCTTCAAAAAAATTATTTCACACCAAGGAAGGTGATAAAGCCGAAAAGAGTTGCTAACATTATTAAGGAGAAGGGATAATTTTAGAACAGGATTCAAGGAGACAGAAAATGGCGGTTGAAACTTCATTTAAATTTCGAAAGTCGACTGGGGCACATAAACTACTATCATCGAACAATTTCAGCTCTATGAGACCGAACAGCCAATCTAGTCTTCCTCTATTCTTCTTATAGTCATTTTCTAAGCGTACCTTAGATGTGGCACAAAGCCGAACATGGTGATTTTTAAGCGTAGCATAGATGTCGCATAAAGCCGGACATGGTGATTTTCTATGCGTAGCATATGTGTGGCACAAGGCCGAAATTATGGGGCATCCAGTGAGGATCGAATTCACTACTTAGTCGTAATTGTGCTAGCGAGACAAGCTTGCACATTGAAATAACACTCTACTCTTCGTTTAAATAATAAAATCAGTTGGATTAATAAAAAAAAAGGTCCATCATTTCTTTTAAGTCTACAGTTACCGCGTCACTTTGAAAAGCTGTCTAACGTAGAAATATAAAAGTTGATTATAGCCTTGTTCACTAGTCAAGGCAGCTGTTAGGCCAAGCAAAAAGGGAATTATTATAATTTGTCTTATGTAAATCTATGGCCGTTCAGTGGAAGAGGAAATGGTAATTATTGCCACAGCAGTTTCTCAATGTCGGATTTGGAAATTTAATATTATATTCAGACTGAGGCTAAGGACAGGACAGAAGTTGAAACCCGAAAGGAACGAGATTAATCATTTCAACATGACGTTTAATGATTAGGGAGACACTGACAATTCCAACGTTACTCATTATACAGCGGATTCTAAAATTAATTCCACCGGTAAGGGATCAGATTCTGTGAGTGACCCAGTAATTAGAACAGTCTCAAATCAATCTAATTTATGATCTGATGTTATAGATTCCGGCCCCAAAAAACTCTTTTAAGGAATAAGCTATCCGAAATATCGTTTGATTCGACAAAAAATTCTTCTATAATTAACATTTTCATGAGACACTTTTCCAAAGGTCTTTTCATTCGTACTGCAGACCGCAAAAATTAAAGACTGACCATTTAGGAAAAAGAAAAAAAAAAGGTTTTAATTAATAGCAAGTATATGATGATTTTTACGACGTGTACTACTAGGCCTCCAATGATCGATGAATTTTGGTAACCCAGGCATGCAATCAACACTGATACTGTTTAGTCTTCAATGATTCCCAAATGGTTCGGCGCGCTTCAAAGGTGAGGTGGAAGAGGATAGCAAGTGAGATGGAAGAGGATAGTGGGTGTGACGGAAGAGGATAGCTGGTGAGGCAGAAGAGAATAGCAGGTGAGCCAGAAGATTATATCAGCTGAAGCGGAGGACGATAGCAGGTAGGGCAGAAGAGGATAGCGGGTGCAAGTGAGGCAGAAGAGGATAGCAGGTGAGACGTAAGAGGATAGCAGGTGAGGCAGAAGAGTACAGCATGTGAGCCAGGAGAGGATAGCAGGTGAGGCAGAAGAGGACAGCAGGTGAGCCAGAAGAGGATACCAGGTGAGGCAGAAGAGGACAGCAGGTGAGGTGAAAGAGGATAGCAAGTGAGGCAGAAGAGGATAGCAGGTGAGGCGGAAGAGGACAGCAGGTGAGGCGGAAGAGGATAGCAGGTGAGGCGGAAGAGGATAGCAGGTGAGGCGGAAGAGGATAGCAGGTGAGGCGGAAGAGGATAGCAGGTGAGGCGGGAAGAGGATAGCAAGTGAGGCAGAAGAGGATAGCAGGTGAGATGTAAGAGGATAGCAGGTGAGGCAGAAGAGAAGAGTAGGTGAGGCAGAAGAAGGACAGCAGGTGAGGCGGAAGAGGATAGCAGGTGAGGCAGAAGAGGACAGCAGGTGAGGCGGAAGAGGATAGCAGGTGAGATGTAAGAGGATAGCAGGTGAGGCAGAAGAGAAGAGTAGGTGAGGCAGAAGAGGGACAGCAGGTGAGTGGGGAGAGGATAGCAGGTGAGGCAGAAAGAGGACAGCAGGTGAGGCGGAAGAGGATAGCAGGTGAGGCGGAAGAGGATAGCAAGTGAGGTGGGAGAGGATAGCAGGTGAGGCAGAAGAGGGACAGCAGGTGAGGCGGAAGAGGATAGCAGGTGAGGCAGAAGAGGACAGCAGGTGAGGCAGAAGAGGACAGCAGGTGAGGCGGAAGAGGATAGCAGGTGAGGCAGAAGAGGACAGCAGGTGAGGCGGAAGAGGATAGCAAGTGAGGCGGGGAGAGGACAGCAGGTGAAGCGGAAGAGGATAGCAAGTGAGCTGGAAGAGGTAGCAGGTGAGGCGGAAGAGGATAGCAGGTGAGGCGGAAGAGGACAGCAGGTGAGGCGGAAGAGGATATCAAGTGAGGCAGAAGAGGATAGCAGGTGAGGCGGAAGAGGACAGCAGGTGAAACGGAAGAGGATAGCAAGTGAGCTGGAAGAGGTAGCAGGTGAGGCGGAAGAGGATAGCAGGTGAGGCGGAAGAGGACAGCAGGTGTGACGGTAGGGGAGGATAGCAGGTGAATTGGAAGAGGATAGCAGGTGAGTCGGAAGATGATAGCAGGTGAGCCAGAAGAGGATAGCAGGTGAGGCAGAAGAGGATAGCAGGTTAGGCAGAAGAGGACAGCAGGTGAGACGTAAGAGGATAGCAGGTCAGGCAGAAGAGGAAAGCAGGTGAGCCAGAAGAGGACAGCAGATGAACCAGAAGGGGATAGCAGGGGAGGCAGAAGAGGACCGCAGGTGAGGCGGAAAAGGATAGCAAGTAAGGCAGAAGAGGATAGCAGGTGAGGCAGAAGAGGACAGCAGGTGAGGCAGAAGAGGACAGGGGGGAGGCAGAAGAGGATAGCAGGTGAGGCAGAAGAGGATAGCAGGTGAGGCAGAAGAGGACAGCAGGTGAGGCAGAAGAGAACAGCAGGGGAGGCAGAAGAGGATAGCAGGTGAGGCAGAAGAGGATAGCAGGTGAGGTGGAATGAGGCAGAAGCAGGGAGGCAGAAGAGGTGAGGCGGAAGAGGATAGCAGGTGAGGCAGAAGTGGATAGCAGGTGAGGCGGAAGTGGATAGAGGTGAGGCGGAAGAGGATAGCAGGTGAGGCAGAAGAGGATGAGGCGGAAGTGGATAGGTGAGGCGGGAAGTGGATGGATGAGGCGGAAGGGAGGTGAGGCGGAAGAGGATAGCAGGTGAGGCGGAAGTGGATAGCAGGTGAGGTGGAAGAGGGAGGCAGAAGGAGGCAGGCGGAAGTGGATAGCAAGTGAGGCAGAAGTGGATAGCAGATGAGGGGAAGAGGATAGCAGGTGAGGCGGAAGTGGATAGCAGGTGAGGCGGAAGAGGATAGAAAGTGAGGCAGAAGTGGATAGCAGGTGAGGCGGAAGAGGATAGCAGGTGAGGCAGAAGTGGATAGCAGGTGAGGCGGAAGTGGATAGCAGTGAGGCAGAAGTGGATAGCAGGTGAGGCGAAGAGGATAGCAAGTGAGGCAGAAGGGGAGCAGGTGAGGCGAAAAGAGGATAGCAGGTGAGGCAGGATGGATGAGGCAGGTGAGGCGGAAGTGGATAGCAGGTGAGGCGGAAGTGGATGGAGGTGAGGCGGAAGAGGATGAGGTGAGGAAGATGATAGCAAGTGAGGCAGAAGTGGATAGCAGGTGAGGCGGAAGAGGATAGCAGGTGAGGCAGAAGAGGATTGCAGGTGAGGCAGATGTGGATAGCAGGTGAGGCGGAAGAGGATAGCAAGTGAGGCGGAAGTGGATAGCAGGTGAGGAGGATAGCAGGTGAGGCGGAAGAGGATAGCAGGTGAGGCAGAAGATGGGGATAGCAGGTGGGGCGGAAGTGGATAGCAGGTGAGGCGGAAGTGGATAGGGGTGAGGAAGGGTGGATGAGGTGAGGTGGAAGAGGGATGAGCAGGTGTGGGCAGATGTGGATAGCAGGTGAGGCGGGAAGTGGATAGAAGTGGATAGTGAGGCAGAAGTGGATAGCAGGTGAGGCAGAAGAGGATAGCAGGTGAGGCGGAAGTGGATAGCAGGTGAGGCGGAAGAGGATAGCAGGTGAGGCGGAAGTGGATAGCAGGTGAGGCAGAAGTGGATAGCAGGTGAGGCGGAAGTGGATAGCAGGTGAGGCAGAAGAGGATAGCAGGTGAGGCGGAAGTGGATAGCAGGTGAGGCGGAAGAGGAGGCAGGTGAGGCAGAAGTGGATGCAGGTGAGGCAGAAGTGGATAGCAGGTGAGGCAGAAGTGGATAGCAGGTGAGGCGGAAGAGGATAGCAGGTGAGGCAGAAGTGGATAGCAGGTGAGGCGGAAGTGGATAGCAGGTGAGGCGGAAGTGGATAGCAGGTGAGGCGGAAGTGGATAGCAGGTGAGGCAGAAGTGGATAGCAGGTGAGGCGGAAGTGGATAGGTGATTTTTGAATGGATAGCAGGTGAGGCGGAAGAGGATAGCAGGTGAGGCAGAAGTGGATAGCAGGTGAGGCGGAAGAGGATAGCAGGTGAGGCAGAAGTGGATAGCAGGTGAGGCGGAAGAGGATAGCAAGTGAGGCAGAAGTGGATAGCAGGTGAGGCGGAAGAGGATAGCAGGTGAGGCAGAAGTGGATAGCAGGTGAGGCGGAAGTGGATAGCAGGTGACGGAAGATGAACGTGAGGCGGAATTGGATATTTTTTGAGGGGTGGAAGAGGGATTTCAAAAAGGCAGAAGAGGATAGCAGGTGAGGCGGAAGTGGATAGCAGGTGAGGGAAGAAGAGGATAGCAGGTGAGGCAGAATTGAAAGCAGGTGAGGCAGAAGAGGATAGCAGGTGAGGTTTTGGATAGCAGGTGAGGCAGAAATGGATAGGATAGGCGGAAGAGGATAGCACAGTTTTTAAAGGATAGCAGATGAGGCAGAAGTGGATAGCAGGTGAGATGGAAGTGGATAGCAGGTGAGGCGGAAGAGGATAGCAAATGAGGCAGGAGGTGGATAGCAGGTGAGGTGGAAATTTTCAGGTGAGGCAGAAGAGGATTGCAGGTGAGGCAGATGTGGTTGCAGGTGAAACAGAAGTGGATAGAGGTGAGGCGGTTTGGATAGCAGGTGAGGCGGATGAGGATTTCAGGTGAGGCGGAAGGGATTTTTGAGGCAGAAGAGGATTCAGGTGAGGCAGAAGTGGATTGCAGGTGTTTGGAAGAGGACAGCAAAGTGAGGCGGAAGTCGGATTTTTCCAAGGCGGAAGAGGATAGCAGGTGGAGGCGGAAGTGGATAGCAGGTGAGGCAGAAGAGGATTGGATTTTGAGGCGGGAAGTGGATAGCAGGTGAGGTGGAAGAGGATAGCAGGTGAGGCAGAAGTGGATAGCAGGTGAGGCGGAAGTGGATAGCAGGTGAGGCGGATGAGGGAAGAGGATAGGAGGTGAGGCGGAAGGATAGCAGGTGAGGCGAAGATAAGGATAAAGGTGAGGCGTCTTAGGAGCAGGTGAGGCAGAAGGGGATAGCAGGTGAGGTTAAGTGGATAGCAAGTGAGGCAGAAGTGGATCCAGGTGAATGAAGATGAGGCAGATGGGATAGCAGGTGAGGCAGAAGTGGATAGCAGGTGAGGCAGAAGAGGATGCCGCCAAGGCGAAGAGGCAGAAGTGGATAGGGAGGTGAACGGAAGTGGATAGCAGGTGAGGGAAGAAATGATTGCAGGTGGGGCAGAGGGTGAAGTGGATAGCAGGTGAGGCAGAAAGGATTGCAGGTGAGGCGGAAGTGGATAGCAGGTGAGGCAGAAGAGGATAAGGTGAGGCAGAAGTGGATAGCAGGTGAGGCGGAAGAGGTAATGCCTGTTCATGAGCAGGTGAGGCGGAACAGGATAGCAGGTGAGGCAGATAGCAGGGATTGATAAGCAAAACTGAGGCAATTGAAGGATAAATTTGAGGCAGAAGTGGAAACCAGGTGAGGAAAGAAGAGGATAGCAGGTGAGGCGGAAGTGGATTTAAAGGGAGAGAAGAGGATCAATAATAGAGGAGGACTTGGAAGGTGAGGCGGAAGAGGATAGCCTTTGAGGCAGAAGTGGAGGCAGATGGATTTTGAGGCAGATTTGGATTTCCAGGTGAGGCAGATTTGGATAGAGGCGAGGCGGAAGAGGATAGCTAAAGGTGAGGCAGAAGAGGAAGCAGGTGAACGGAAGTGGATGGAAGTGGTAGCAGGCGGAAGAGGATAGCAGGTGAGGCGGAAGTGGATTTGCAGGTGAGGCTCTCTGGATAGCATTGAGCGGGAAGAGGAACAGAAGGTATCTGAAGTGGAACAGTAGATGAGGCAGAAGAGGATAGCAGGTGAGGCAGAAGTGGATAGCAGGTGAGGCGAAGATGATAGCAAGTGAGGCAGAAGTGGATAGCAGGTGAGGCGGAAGAGGATAGCAGGTGAGGCAGAAGTGGATAGAGGTGAGGCGGAAGTGGATAGCAGGTGAGGAAGAAGAGGATAGCAGGTGAGGCGGAAGTGGATAGCAGGTGAGGCAGAAGTGGATAGCAGGTGAGGCGGAAGAGGATAGCAGGTGAGGCAGAAGTGGATAGCAGGTGCGGCGGAAGAGGATAGCAAGTGAGGCAGAAGTGGATAGCAGATGAGGCAGAAGAGGATAGCAGGTGAGGCGAAGATGATAGCAGGTGAGGCAGAAGTGGATTGCAGATGAAGCGGAAGTGGATAGTAGATGAGGCAGATTTTAGTATTCGTGACATGTAATTTGAATTTTGGGCTCATCCTTTTTTCTAATAACAATATATTCTGACTTACAAGTCAGAAGAAAATCGGGTGGTATATCTGTAACTTCTTCCCGAACATGGGTTGCTGCCTCTTCATCAAAGATGCTGTAAGTAAACCTTTCTCTGGGCTTTGCTTTTCACTCAGATAAAATAACTTTTTACTTAATACTATAAATGTTATACATAGGTTAAATTAAACATAATATATTAATGTTTATATAAATTCATCCATGCTTAGTATATTGCTTCCCCTGCTATTTACTTTGAGCTCCTTGATAAAATCTAAAGAAGAATCAGCAATATTATTGATCCTGATCTGGTGGCTCGGCTTCAGTCACTTTCCTAGCGCCGTAAGGTTGCCTCTCCGTGTCTTTTCTATAAATACTTTCACGGCAATTGTTCGGATGAGCTCTTCATTGGGGTTAATTTTTAGAATTGTTGTTTTATTCCCCTCCCCCCACAGACCACGAATTGTAAATATGCTGACTAGTTAGTATTTTCATAGAGACAAAGAGGTATTATGGTGGTTGTAGTAAGAAAGGTACGAATGAATGTGTTGTTTTGGTGTAAGGAATATTGTTTCGTACGTTTGGGTCAGTGCTTGCGGCTAGCTAAGTTATAGTTAAGACAGAAGAAGACCGTCCTTTCCCCAATCCCCTTTGCGGCCTTGTGCCACATTTCTGTATTGTACAGAATAAATATCGCTCTTCGCTATGGTACGTAGACTTTTTTAAATTTAAGCCCAGAACTGGACTAGCGTCGAGATCTCATCAATTTACAGTTGAGCTGGCTAGATATACAGTAACGGCCATAATATAAGGAACGGAAACAACAAAGACATAAATATGTGTATTAAAGATTAGGGTGTAATGCATAAATATTATACAAAATTACAAAAAATTACATAATAGTTTTTTTTTAAATAAAGATTAAATGGAACAAAGGAAATAAGCAACTGGACAAAAGTTAAGGAACGATGTTAATAATTTGCATAAACTTTTAATTTACATTGTTAAAAAACTCGATGGAGCTTTTCAACAATAAGTAAAAGTTCATTTATCATTAGGATTTTATTTTTAAGCAATATGGCAAATACTACACGCAAAACGCTCTCTTTTGAAGAAAAAAAACTCATTATCGCTAACTAGCAAGAAAAAAAAAGGTCAATTTCAGAAATTTCTGATATTGCTCATAGGTCTAAAAGTGTCGTTCATCGTGTAATTAGCAGATATAAAACCGATAAAACGTTAGATGCAAAACCAAAAACCGGCAGACCTCCAAAAACATCGCAAGAGAAGATCGAAGAATTGTTAGAATTGTTTGAAACTGCTACATCAATTGCCCGTAAATTTAATGAAGAGCCAAAGAAAAGGGTTGCTCACAGGTTAAAAATGCAGGATTGCATGCCCGTATTCCAGCTTCGAAGCCTCTCATTTCAAAGCGAAACCAAAGGGCACGCCTGGAGTATGCAAGAGAACATGTTGTTTGGACTGACGCACAATGGGATACAGTTCATTTCAGTGACGAGTCCAAGTTTACTATATTTGGTTCTGAGGGCAAAACTTACGTACGCCGTAAGAACAGGTGAAAGACTGTCTTCTCAATGTGTCAAGAAAACCGTTAAGTTTGATGGCGGCAGTGTGATGGTGTGGGGAATGATTTCATCTGCAGGAGTTGGCCCTATCATCCGCCTACATGGCAATATCAATGCTGAGATTTACAAAAGGCTTCTTCAGCAGCATGTGGTGCCAAGAATACATCATAATCTTTATGAATCTCCTAGTTTCATGCAGGACAATGCACCTAGCCACAAGGCTCAGAAGGTTATGGCTTTATTTGAAGAAGAAGGAATCACCCTAATGAAGTGGCCAGCCCAGAGCCCCAACCTGAATCCAATAGAAAATGTTTGGAATATAATTGGAGAAAGGGCTCAGAAAAGAAACCCGAAAAACCAGGATCACCTATGGGAGTTATTGAAAGACGAATGGGAGGGAATTACTGCTGATTTTTGCAAGAAATTAATTAGATCATGTGGTCGACGATGCAGAGAAGTCATTGAAAATAAAGGGATGTTTACCAAATATTAAATTTTGTTGATATTTTGTTCACAATCAAGTATTAACAAGATCTTTCCTTAGCTTTTGTCCAGTAGCTTATTTCCTTTGTTCCATTTAACCTTTATTTTAAAAAAAAAACTATTATGTAAATTTTTGTATAATATTTATGCATTACACCCTAATCTTTATTCGGTAAAAGTTCCATGCTAATCATGCATTACTTTTTAAGTAATACACATTTATGCCTTTGTTGTTTCCGTTCCTTATATTATGGCCTCTTCTGTAGTCTCTTTTCTCGCACTTCTCGCTTGTGGAACTCCCTTCCGGCTCCATGCTTTCCAGCCAACTCTAATTTGCAAAGATTTAAATGCAATATTAATCTCTATCTACTGCCCTGATTACTCTTTCCTCTTCCTGCTCGCTATTAATATTTCTGTTCCTAATTCTTCCACGTGATGTAACTCCTTGTGTCTTAGTGGCTTTACTGCCTTGAACGAGGTGAAAAAAAATTTAATGTGCAGGCAACCTTTATTCGTGGCGTCGGTCCAGTACCTCTAAAATTGCGAATGGGTTTTTAGACCGGGTTAAGGAGTCATTCGTTCAAGCTTTGAATCGGGTACAACCATTTCCACGTCATATAAACAAATTCTAATCTGGTAGACCTGTGACGTACTTTAAGGAGTCATTCTCTGGCTTGTGCTCCGGAGTCTACTTCCGGTTTCTAATTTTTTCTAAAGGCACCTCATTTCCGGCGTTCGATTGACAATCCAGCCACGTGCCAAGGAGCCTGTTCTTCCGGGCATCTGGGCTAGACGAATGTTTCGCATGTGTACACACTCGTTGACTTTTTGTTTAACAAATATCCTGCCACAAATAAATGGGAGAAAAGCGGGGTGGAGGTTGTTGAGGGTGGATGAAAAAAAGGCTCCCCCCCCAAAAAAAAACAATAAAAAACAGAACTTTTATTCTATAGCGTAAAATTTTAGCATTTACGCTCAACTTCTCGAGAGCACCTCTCTGCGGCTGTTCGGTCTCACATTGTCTGCTGACCTAAGATGGAACAAATACATTGAGTCAATTGCTTTGTCCACCGCAAGGAAAGTTGGCTCCCTGTGCCGCGCCAGGAAATTTTTCCTTCCCGGAATTGATCCTTCAAATCTACAAATCAACCATTCGTCCTTGCATGGGTTATTGCTGCCATATATGCTCTGGAGCCCCTTCAGTTTGCCTTGGGGTTCTTGATTAGATCCAGAGACGGATATGCAATGCAATTGGCCCTGATCTGGCATCTCGTCTACAGTCACTCTCTCACAGACGTGCCGTCGCCTCCCTCTGTCTTTTTTACAAATACTTTCATGGTAATTGCTCCGATGAGTTGCTTTTGCTGGTTCCAAGGCTTCATGAATTCAAGCGCCCTATGAGGCTGGCATCCCGCTCTCACCCTTTCACTGTCGAAACTGTTAAATGTAGCGGTCTCTTCTACTTCAATAGCTTCATGTCTCGCACCTCTCGCCTGTGGAACTCCCTTCCCTATTACTGTTTCCCTGAGAGCTATAATGTCCAACTATTCAAATGTAATGTCAATAGGCAGTTGCCTTGATCTATCCACTATCCTTCTCTTCATTCTTTCCTCTATCACTCCTATCTGCTCTCGCTCCAAATCCTATGTAACCCCTTTGCGTGCTAGTGGCTTCCAGCCTTGCTTGGGATGAAATGCTTTAAAAGAAATTTAAAAAATAAACAAAATATCCCACGAATTTCTTCCTAATGAACTATGCAGGCGCTCGACATAAATTCAGAGTGCAAATCCAGATATCTTTGAAATGAGTCGGGATATTTCGATATGAACATGCTGAGGAGGATGAAAATAAACACCGAAACATGAAGAAAATAAAATACACTTCCTGTTAGTTATATAAATATTAGTTTTACTGGTGTGTGGGTAACGTGTTGGTTTTCCTCAGAGAAAGAATCGGCGATCCGAGTTCAAATTCCGGCATCGCCTATTGACATTGGAAAAGACAAGAGTTCATCTCTTCTTCATTTCCACGACGGTTATATATTAAATAGCAGGGTAGATTGCGTTTTCTAGTCTTGATTGGTAACCAAGCCAAGGTCTGAATTATGAAGTAAAAAAAATGAGAAAACCTTCTATCATGTCGCCTAAAATAATATTTGAGCTCTGTCATTTGGGCGTGAAGCACTACTTCTGGTATGTTGTCATAGCACTCTTCGGGAGTTATTTTGTTTGTAAAAATCAATATATTATATATGTATATTTTATGATGCTGTTTTTGCCAGTCTTCGTAATATTACAATATTAATATTGTAACAGGAAAACTGTTCAAGTCGTGTAAAACAAAATTGTCCATTTGTAGATTAAGCTTTGAACCGTTGTATCTTAGAAATGATTAAAGATATCTTACTGGAATTCTCCGAGGTTTTTATAATTGTACCATCATTGAAGGCCTGAATGATCTTTTTCCTCTCACCATTGCTCAGTTAAGAAGACAGTAAAATACATCTATTGGAGGCTTTGGTACACATCATGAGTGATGTTCCTAGCCGAGGTTCATTAGGTGTTTCGGGTATTTCAAAATCATAACCCTCTCCACAGTGACCCAGCCGATATTGATCGAGTATCGACTTGTGTACCTTCCATTAGCTACAATATATATATATATATATATATATATATATATATATATATATATATATATATATATATAAATCGGGTGTAACAGCGAAATGTCCAAATAAATTGTAAAACAAAATTGTTCAATTGTTAGATTGCTTTGAACCGTTGTATCTTAGAAATGATTAAAGAAATTATAACACTATTGGACTCTACTTTGAGCAATAAGAATGTATAATTATTCTCCAAACTTAACAGAAGAATCGTGTTGAAATCGATCATAAACGAAAATGACATGTTCATCAT